TCAAGTCAGCCGTCACCTGTCTTTCTGAGCATGGCAGTGTACAGTGCAATGTCCAATTACAGTAGCTACAATAACATTGTCTATCAGTCTGACTTCACAAAAACCAAACTTCATATGTATGGTATGATTTCAGTCTGAATAAAACTGCTAATGACATTTTAAAAAGACAAATTATTGCTTTAGTCTAACAGAAAGCAAATGTTTGTACCTGTCTTGGTGCTCCAGAGTAGCGTTTGTTATAGTCTCTGACGTGTTTTAGCACTTCTGTCTCTTTACAGTCAGCTCTGGTCTCGCTGAAGAGATGGCACATCTTATTCACCTGAGAATAAAGAATAAAAGACAACAAATAAAATGAGAGCTTTGTCTTTTCTGTATGTATGCACAGATATATACAGTAATTGTGAAATATTCATACAATTGAAAATGTTTTCTCATTTAAAATCTTTTAAACTAGTTTATTCCTGTGATGGCAAAGCTGGATTTTCAGCAGCCATTACTCCAGGCTTCAGTGTCACATGATCCTTCAGAAATCATTTTAATGTTAAATGTTGAAAGCAGTTGTGCTGCTTAATATATTTTTTTTGTGGAAATCGTCATACAATACCATTTAAGTGTTTGGGGTAAGTAAGATTTTTTTTAAAAGAAAGAAAGAAATAGTTTTATTCAGAACTAAAATGTAAAAAGACATCAAATAAAATGCATTTATTTATTTATTTTCCAAAAAGTGTGCATCAGCTAAGAAATCTCTTACCGTCTGTCTGCACAAAGGACAGCTGATGGCATCTAACCAGGAGCAATGTTTCCAGTAAGATATCAGACATGGTGCTAGAGAGGGAAAGAGACAGAAGACAGATAAGCATGGGTCTCTCCTTTACCATGTGCCCAGTGCCATGTGCCAGAAATGTGTTGTTTTCAATAACAACAGCTTTTATTAGATAGATCTCATAAATGTGCTTTTCAACTGAAATGCATTGGCTTTGGTGATTCAGAAATGACATTTGGATTCCACCATTCACATCATGTTAAAACAACACAAAAATATGGTTTGTTGCTATTTATTTTTGGATTCAGGTAAATCTGGTAAATCATATTCAATGGATTTTTTTCTCAAAAGCAATTATTTAACATAAAGTAGCTGATCAAGTTCACTACTTTTTATTTAGCCTATTTAGTAGAGCTGATATGATTAGAAGGAATAATAAAAATAATAGTAGTTATTGAACAGGTAATCAAATCTGAAAGAGACATGCATGTGTATCATCATGTTTATTTTATTACTAATTATTATCTTTGCTGCTCTTTATTTCAGTCTCTTTAATGTGCTTATTTAAAGCGCCTGCGGTGGAAGAGTTCAAATGTGATAGTACAACAGTTTAGAATTTTGTATTAACCTTGTAGTTTACTATTAACATAAATCTACAAATATTCCCTCTCTGAGTGTGTATTCACGTGATCTGGGTCAGGTGAGAGGCATGGCTATCATAACTATGGCAACAGTATAATATTAAACTCCATAGGCAACACTGTAGAGTCACATGACCGGGTAAGTGTTGAGTACTTGCAGTGTAAATGCCCACCACCATCTGCTCTCTCACAGTTCACCAGTTACGCTAGTCTAAAGCACCTTAAGCTAAAGTGAACCACCATGATGATTTTATATATATATTTTTTATTTATTTTGCAGTGATGTGTTTTGAAGTAGGTTGACGCACCACAGAAAAGATGCCCACAGTTGGTCTCTACAGGATAGCTGGCAATCTGTAAACACACGGGGCAGTGATTGTCCCTGTTGCCTGCTGGTAACCATATCTTAGGCAAATCCTGCAAGCAGGAAAATAACATTATTACTCTGAATTAATATGAACTTTTCCAGGTTCTTAGAGAAATACTACTTAAAAAACGCAATAAATGATGATAAATGACATTTTGTACTATGTATTTTATACAAATATTGCTCTGTTGCATGTGTCATTTATTTCTATGATAATGTATGACTTTGTAGTATTGCAGTATTTCACTGAAATACACATTTCTAATTGAAAATGCTACATTTAATGATAAATGATTAAATAAAATACACAATATAAGAATTTTACTAGTAGTCTAGTTTACTAGTAGGCCAGTGCATGTGTGTGTAGGAATGTGTATGCACCTCTCTGTTGTTCACGTGAGGATTGTGTGGCTGGCCTTGACTCCTTATCTTTGAGTGTAGAGAGCACCTTCAAAAATGAGAGATGCAGTTATTAAAAAGCAATAGTGTGGATTTTATGTTCAGCCATTTTGTTGAACTGAGAGACTTCAAATCACAATGCAGGACTAGAGTTTAAAAGGTCATCGTCATTATATGTGCAACATGAGTTAAAACATCATCATATCATTACAGCTTACAGATTTTCTTTTGAAATTCAGAGTAAACTGTATTGGAAAGTACCTAATTCCTCTTCATTAGAATAAAAACATTTATTCATCTCAAGATAAAACCCGATTTATTTATTTTTTACAAAATGTATTACACTTTTTATCAATGAGTCTGGTCAGGCCAAGTCTGGAAGAGCACGTACGAAATCTAAATTTAACTATCTGACACACCTGTTTGTTTTACTCATACCAGATAACGCAACATCAGACAGCCTTAAAGTACATCAGCCTTTGAAATATGTCAGCACTGAACTAATTTGCCTTTGATATGAAAATAACTATTTGCATCTTATGGCTTGATATCATGCAGTTGTTATCTTGTACAGCAAAATTATCTGTAAAACAACACAACATTGTGCTCATGATCCCATGTGAAAGTATTTGAGAATTGTAGGACTGCGAGTTCAATTTAGAATTGAATAAAGTTAGACTGACATGACTGAACTGCCCGATGTCATAATATTTAGTGTCTGTGTGGTGCCTTTTATTGCCCCACAATACCATAACACAATTCATCTGCTGTCTCAGGACACTTCTTCATGTATATTTTAAACAGATGCTGCATATCATTAAACTGTTTAAAACAGCATCTATATTATATTGATGTACCTTCCCAGTTAAATAATGTCCTTTGTTCATAAGGGCATCATTTCAACATTCAACTTACACAGCAGACAGTTTCAAATTGGATTAAAAACAGGCATAAAATATATTTAATACAAATCTAACACAAATAGTTTGTCTCTCTCACCTGTTGTGGAAGCTGCGGCTGGTGGGCATGTTTCTTGTTCGTAATTCAGTTGCTTTCTCTCGTGGAAGGCAGAGACGAATGCTTTCTTACTGCTACGGGTTAATCATTAACCAGGGCATCAGTCCCACATCAGTTCCCTTTTTTGGAGATTAGGTAACTAGACTGATTTCCTGTTGGATTTTCGAAATTCAGGAAACTTGCTTGCAATCTTACGGCCTCTACAATATGTTAATGTATGTGAAAATGTGTTGATTGACAATATTTGCACTGAACAAAGCCATGGCCATTTCTCGGTCTCCAGTGTTGTATTTTTGTCATGTGACCACTATCACAGGTTCAAAGACACAGGTTGTAAGTCTCCTCCTGCTTTAAGTAGGTTAGGTGTCTGGTTAACCTGTCAATGGTTTACCGTAAGTTTACACAATCTACAGCTGTCCCATAGTGATGACCAAAGAAAGGCATTTCACTGGGATGCCTGGAACAATCATATCCAGGGCAATCCAGCAGATTAAAATAATCTATATCCAATGGGTTTATTATATTACACATGTGGATACTCAAATAGAGCCTATTATGTGTGGGTTACGTTTCTTATATCTATCAATATTCATTATTGATAAGACAGCTCTTGTAACTTAGTTACCCAACTTCCAAACTGGCTCCATGCATTTGCCCTGGAGATTTTTGCTAAAAACTGCTCAAGCTAATATTTACCTTTCTCATTTTTGCCTAAACTGCAAGGTTATAGTGGCTGAAAATAGCAGCTGTTGATCCACAAGGGCCTTGGTGGCACAGGGGTGGGTTAAAGACCCACAGCCCCAATGAGAACCTGAAGGCTGTCATGGTTTAAAGTCCAGTGTCATGTCAGTCAAGGACTACTCCCACCAGTCACAGTGTCTCAAGTTTTGTGATTAACAGGTTGAAGATGCAATAGAAAAAATATTTTTGGCTTATTTCTGACTGGCATATCCATTGAGCTTTAGTATATATTTTAATGTTATCAAATGATGTGGCTTTATGGAGAAAATATAAATGGAGTAAATAAAGGAAAGAGTTTATTTAAACTTTAATGGAATGCAGTTTATCTATTTATATTTATTTATATTCTATCCATTATTATCTATTTATATATTATATAGTTGTTTGCAATAAAGGCACTGATGTGTCTTTTATTTTGTATATGAAGTAGTCCCACATGTGCTCATCCTTAGGTAAACCATGTGACTGCGCATCACAATCTTATCTAATTACAAAAAAGGTAATAAAAGGCTTGAGAGATGTTAATGTTTAATGTTTAACAACAGAAAACACAATCGTCTTTGAAAACTGTGTGAGCTGTTAAATTAAAACAAATAAAATGTCAGATTTAAAAATAAGCACTGAAAAATTATGATTTACATTCATGGTTTAACACAATTGTTGTTGTTGTTTTTTGGAACATGATTGAATGGTTTCTAGCTGGTCATAGCTGTGGTTTCCATAGTGTGGAAACCTAACGATTAACTTACACCAAATGATCCGTGTTCACTGCTCTGCCAGGCTCCTCGGATCTCTGTTTTGATTGGCTGCACGGTGTCCTGAACTCAATACACCATTGGTGTTTTATTTCTTGCTGTTGCGCTCTTGATCCGTCAATCCCCCAATCCTTATCAACGCAGCACGCGCTGTCGCGGCGGACATTCACGAAGCCTTTACGTATCAATTAGTGCGTAGACGCAATAGACGTGAACGCAGGGCTGCTGAGAGCTAGGCAAATACACACGCAGGTGGGGAAGGGAAGCGCATTGTTGACAGGTGGACGGAAATATTTGTCCGATCGTAAAGAGGAGATATGGATTTAAATAAAACGGTGCTGTGCGAGAGCCTGATTATTTGGGTAAGATCCTATCTTTTAGTTTAGCTCTAAAGGTCACTGGAATCAGGAATCGTTTATTTATCTGCGATCAGATTTTTGACGATAGCGTTACCTGTCGCAGGTAGTCGTTTCCTTCGGGCACTATGGTCCAAAAATACCGGAAATAAGACATGTAGATGTGTGCACTTGCTCTTGTAAACCAAACGGGCTCTGTGGTGCATCATTACAACGTTAAAAAATGCATTCATTCCACCCGTCCAACACGCGACACCAATATATACAAAAATCATAACGACAAACCAGACTCCGAATGCTGTTAGACATGTAAACAGCACCAACAGTCACAGCCAACTCCATCCTCATCCGAATTAGGCGTCTAATCTGGTTAGCTAGAGTATTTGTGGAATGTGTTTTATGCAATCAGATATTCCCTGTCTCAGTTTAATATGATGGCGCTTTGATTTTTGACTGCGGTGTGTGATCGCGGTCCTCTGCATTTGGCTCGGATCCATGGCTGTGTTACACTGCGTTCACACCAGGGCCCCTTCTGAATAGTTTTCAAAAGGACCTATAAGATTCTAAAGCTTATAATGTCCCAGCTTATAATGGTTACCTGAATAGATGGCATATTTTAAATGCATTATTTGTTTGCTAGAATCCCAGAGTCCCATTTCTATAGTGATCTCTAATGCATTAGAGCTGCACACCTAAATCTGCATAATTTATGTATATGATAAAGTATTTTGTGTGTGTATATATATATATATATATATATATATATATGACCATACCTAATCTGATTCATTCTAATAATTAATATGTGTTATGATCACTTTGTGTCCAGCTTTTGGCTCAAAAGATCACAGATTTCCCTCTGCCTGATCTGGCGCGTGTGGTAGAGCAGTTTGATCAAGTAGAGCTGGGACGCCTCCTACAGCTCATCCTGGGGTGTGCAGTCAAATGTGACAGGAAACAAGGTAGTTAAAGGGATAGTTCACCCAAACCTTTAAATATTGTTATTTACTATCATAATTTACTGCTATTTCGCTGTGATGAGTGTATATATCGTCATTTTAACCCTGTGTTTTTTTGTTTAGAGTATATCCAGATAATCATGACCTTGGAGGAATCTGTACAGCATGTGGTGATGACTGCTATTCAGGAGGTCAGATTAATTTAATTCAGATCTATTTTTATGTGGTCATATACATTTTTTCATTTATAAAGAAAAAAAGGAATTTCAAAGCTTTTTGTATTGGTTACAGCTTATGAGCAAGGAGACTGTGTCTCAGTTAGGAACAGAACATCTTGGAGATGTTGAACAGGTAAGAAATACAGACATAGTATTATAACATCATAGTATAACATATTGTCAGTTTGAGAACTGTCAGGAGTATTGATATTGTTGTTAAATGTAGTATCTTGTAGTATTGTTCAATGTTGCTGTTTTTGGTAGTTAAAAAAAGCCTTGGAGGATCTGACTGAAGTCATGGCAGAGAAAGAAGAGCTGGCACAGCGCTGTCAGGAGCTCGACATGCAGGTGAGATTCTAGTTTCAGTAAAACAGCTGTCAACGGTTTTGCATTAATCAAGATACAATAAAATTAAGAATGTTAAAAGTCAAGTCACATTTATTTATGTAGCAGTTTATATAATATAGATTTCAAAGGAGCTTCACAGTAATAAACAGGAAAATAACAGTGTTAAAGTTCATCAGTTATGAAATTACTTCAATTTCATTTGTAAAGCAGCTCTTCAAAAAACAGCAGCGTCATTAGTCAGCTCAATTTAGTTGACTCAATTCAGTTAAGTAACCATGTCATTGTAGCAAAGTTTATCAATTATGAGCTCAATTCCACTATAAAGCTGCTCTACAACTGTAGATACTTTTGTGACAGCCTTAAAGGAGACATATTATGCCCCTTTTTACAATATGTAATGTAAGTCTCTGGTGTCCTCAGAATGTGTCTGTGAAGTCTCAGCTCAAAATACACCACAAATAATTTATTATATCATTTTGAAAATGCCTATTTTGAGTGGAAGCAGAAACACGCTGTTTTTCGGGCCTGTCTCTTTAATGAGGTGCTGCTCCCCGCCCCCTTTTCCAGAATAGAGCTGTGCCATTACAGCTCGGACCTGTTAAAAACATCTGTTTTGGTTCTGATTATCATGTTTATCGCGCTGAAATCATGCCTTTTAAACCATATGAGTTTAAACTTCTGATATACGGTTTTCTGAGTGCACACATCCGAAGCACACGGACAGAAAGCTGCTGTCACAGCATGTGAGTACTAAACTAAGTTCTCATTCACACACAAGTTAAAAACACATGAGTTACAAGAACAGTCCGTTATGTGTATGAAGGTAAACAGCTGGGAAATAAATCGCACGATTATTTTAGATCTGTGTGGCAGCAGCAGTATACAGTAAATAAATCAATAAATCCGCTGCTCTGTTGACTCCTCTGAGGCTGGGACTCTAAATAGTGTTCTGTGCTCGTCTGTGCAGGCAAAGACAGAACAGTTAGCATGTTTTGCTCTAACTTTCGCCATGGCATTAGAACTGGTACACCGTTGTGGCTTGCGAAATAAAAATGACAGCGCCGTGGGTGGAAACTTACAGATTAAGGGGCGGTAATATTATTATTTGCAGTGTCACTAGGGAAGCGAAATCAGACGTGCTCGTTTTTTTCAGAGGCTTGCAGAAAAAGGCTTCCCAAATCCAAATTACTGGGTTAATATTTTTCACGTTTACTTGGTTGGTAGATGCACCAGGGACCTGATTATAGCACTTAAAACCTGGAAAAGTCTGATTTTCATGATATGTCACCTTTAAGTAAGATTGTGACAAAAATGGTTCATGCATAGAAACCAAAATAGCACATTAATAGTTATTATTATTCCTTGATTTAGATATGAATATATACAGGTGCAGAAATATTTACAAGCTGCCTACATAAAGGCATTGGTCAAAGAAATCCAGAGACAGTATTTGTTTTAGTGGCTATGTTTGCAGACTGTAAGTGTCAGCTCAGTGAACAGCATTTCTGATTTCTGCTGTTCTGTTCATTCACCTTCATGGATGAACAGATTTTGCCTTTGAGTGCAAGTATTTTTTGTTTGTCTCTGCAGAGACCGATGTGTTTTTAGCTTTACAAAGAGGTGAAGTAATTTGTCTTGTACAGTATTTCATTAAATATTTAGGTATATATTTTCCTTTTGGAAATTGTGGTAAATATAGTACATTTAAAGGTGTTAATTTTCCTGTGCACACAAATGGGTTAGAAATTCATGTGTGCTGATTCTTGACAGATTGAGTTGTAAAAGTATCCATGACCTATGAGAGGTAAGTCTAAACAAATGCATGATAACCTAGCCTAACTAAAACTAAAACACTGCATTGCCACTAACCAATCTAACCACTGAAAAACTGGTCTTATCTGGGGGTTTTGTGTGGCAAAAAGAGCTCATGGGTTCAGTGCTGAAATTAGGTTTAACATGCTTAATGTCATGAACAGTGGATTTGTGGACTTAATTGGCAAATAAATGTAAAACTGAATAAATTTGGAGTTTATGTATTTATATACACAATTGTAATGGATAAATTACTTAATATTTAGTTTTGAAAGTGTTTTTTATTTTTGTTTGCTGGTTTATTTCCTTTTGTGGTAAGTAGTTGGGCAGCACAATGTTTTTTAAAATGCAAATCTAGTTGTAATCTCTTTTAATTCACAAAATAATCTTTACATCATGCTCTATATATACACTACCATTCAAAAGTTTGAGGTCAGTAAGATTTTTTTTTAAGTAATTATTTTATTCAGCAAGGATGAATTAAATTGATCAAAGGTGACAGTAAATACATTTATAATGTAAAAATGTATCACATTTTCCACAAAAAAATATTAATGTAATATTAAGAAGTGTTTCTCAGCATATTCAAATGGTTTCTGAATGATCATGTGACGTGAAGGCTGGATTAATGGCTGTTGAAAATACAGCTTTGCCATCAAAGAAATAAATTACATTTTAAAATATATTAAAATAGAAAACATTCATTTTAAGTTGTAAGAATTCTTACTGTATTTTTGATCAAATAAATGCAGCTTTGGTGGGCATAAGATACTTCTTTCAAAAACATTAAAAGATCTTACTGACCCCAAACATTTGAATGGCAGTGTACATCGTATGGTACAACTACTTACAAATTCTATGTTCAAATATGCCGTATGTTGTATGTAGGTCATACATGCCTTGACACAATAAATATCAGGCTTCCCAGAAAGCCCTGATGTTTGACCTTTTGCCCTTTGAACAGGTGACAATGCTACAGGAGGAAAGGAACAGCCTCCTGGCAGAAAATGATGTCTTGACTGATCGATCCAGTCAGCTTGATACTTTTGAAAACCCCAGCACTCCATCAGGGAGGAAGCACAGCCAACTACAACTACAGCTAGAGCAGCTTCAGGAGGAGAACTTCAGGTACAGCTTCATCTGACTACAGATCCCACATTCCCACATATCCAAACTAACTGGTCTAATATTGTCTGCAACTTGCTTGATATTAACCTGCTGATGTTCTGAATATTGTTGTGGATGCATAAATAGACAAGCATTGAAAATAGTGAACCAAGCTTGGGTAGAATTTCTCTATTTGAAATAGCATGCAGTGTAAATAATGAATGTGTGTGCATGTGTGTAATAACCAGACTCGAGGCAGCTAAAGATGATTACCGCATCCACTGTGAAGAGCTGGAGAAACAACTAGTGGAGCGTCAGCATCGTAATGATGAACTGACCAGCCTGGCTGAGGAGTCGCGATCGCTTAAAGATGAATTAGACATATTAAGGTGTGTGCTAGGTCATACATATTTTAACAAGTCGTTTTTGCCAGTATCCACTTTGAGTGTTTTGGGAAGTCTTTATGATTAATTTGTGTTTGTTTAGGAGCTGCTCTGACCGGGCAGTCAAGCTAGAGGCCTCTGTTGAGACGTACAGGAAGAAGTTAGAAGATCTAAGTGACCTCAGACGGCAAGTGAAAGTTCTGGAGGAGAAGAATATGACCTATATGCATAACACAGTCAGCCTTGAAGAGGAGCTACGCAAGGCTAATGCTGCAAGAACTCAATTAGAGACATACAAGAGACAGGTATAAACATGCTAGCAGTTTTTATTTTTAAGAATTATGAGAAAGATGTTTTTTTTGTTCAGTCATAGTCATCATCACACTACCGTTCAGTTGTTGTTGTTGTTGTTGTTTTTTTTTAAGAAATCGATATGTTTATTCAACAAGCATGCATTAAATTGATCAAAGACTGAAGTTATTGCTGCTGAAAATTCAGTTTTGCCATCACAGGAATAAATTACATTTTCAAATATATTATAATAGAAAACAATTATTTTAAATTGTAATAATATTTCACCAATGTTCCTGTTTTTGCTGTATTTTTGATCAAATAAATGCAGCCTTGGTGAGTGTAAGAGACTTTCAAAACTTTCAAAAACATGAAAAAATGAAAATGTTTTGAACAGTGGTGTAAAAATGGTGACCACAATCATATTTGAGTATTATAGAGCATACACATACAACTTTAAGCTTGAAATCAAAAGATAACCGTTACATTGTTTTTGGAACTTCAGGGTCAGGAGCTCCACAGGAAACTGTCTGATGAGTCCCGTAGGGCTGATAACCTGGCGTTCGAGATGAAGAAATTTCAGGAGAAATATGATGCTTTACTAAAGGAGAAGGAGGTAGCCAGGCACGTTCACCTGCAATTACTCATACACATGCCAAAACCTTGGGATAATTGTGTTTCTGTCTGATTCATCAGAGGATCAGCATTGAGAAGGACACTCTCAGAGAGATTAATGAAGAGCTGCGATGCACACAGGCCCAACAGGACCAGCTATTACAAGCAGGTATGTTTGCAGATCCCACACCTGGAGATGTTGCAATATGCCGGTAGCAAAAGATTGCATTTGAATGAAGAATGTTACTCACAGACATGAATCAGTGCAGGTAGTGCTCTGTTGAGTGCGATAACAGTTCCTCCGCTCCTGTGGTTTGTTTGGCATAGCCAATTTAAATTCAAGCAAATCTGCTAGTTCAGAGGCAGTACAGCCTGTTACATTTATATTCCGACCACAGTGCAGGCTTGAACCCAGCTCAAGTGATCTATCTGGGTCACTTCGCAGCTCAGTAAACACAAACTGAAAATGTAGTTTTGAAGATGGTATGAAACTTAAACTTGTGCATATTTCACACTTCACAGGAAAGTATCAAACAGGAAGTCCAAGCCATGATAACCTGGCAGCTGAGATGTTGCCCATTGAGTACAGGTATGATATATATATGAGGTTTTTTTCTAATTTAATATATTTCAAAATGACATTTATTCCTGTAAGGGTAAAGTTGATTTTTTTTAACATCCATTACTCCAGTCTTCAGTGTCACATGATCCTTCATAAGACTAGTATAGTACAGTAGCATGCCATTCTGGACCTAATTCCTTAGTGATTCACATTTTTAGTACGTGAAAAATCTTAGTTACCATCGTAGGACACCTATGTATTTGTTTATGTTGATTGTATATGTCTGCTTCTCCAGGGAGAAGTTCATCCGTCTGCAGCATGAGAACAAGATGTTGCGGCTGCAGCAGGAGGAGTCAGAGAACGAGCGCATAACTGAGCTGCAGGAGCAGCTGGAGGAGGCCCGGCGCGGACGCAGCCAACTGGACACTGAGAACAGGTACAGATTGACATAATACATTGAATATAAACTGACCGTACTGTGCAGTAGCTTTTCTACATATAAACATGCCTGTGTGAGAATGTGTTGTGCTGTTTTATGTGTATTAAGGTTAAACAGAGAAAGAATTAGTGAGCTCCAGCAGCAGGTAGAGGATCTCCAGAAGGCCTTGCAGACACAAGGAGCCAAACCTGAAGATGTAAGTGTGTGTTTGAGCCACTTGGTGGTGCTGTTTTTGCACATTTTTGGTCAGTGCTGCATGAACAATTACTTTGCTAAATGATCTGGTCTTTGATTTCTGAAAGTGATGATAGTGATACTTTTCATTAAAAAGTCACATTGCTTGTTTCCTGTCATACAGTCTCATTTGAAGAGGAAGCTGGATGCTCATATGTAAGTTTAGACATTTAATCTAATTTGTTTTCTTTGTTGTTTTAGCTATGTTTGAGCATCTTATGCACTTTCTGAAATGGATGGTCCTTATGTTTTTTTTCCCAGGGTGCAACTGAATAAGGCACAAGATGAAATCATGAAGAAGAAAGAGCTGCTGGAGGACCTTCAGCCAGACGCTACTCAAACCAGTTAGCGTCTAAATTTTGACCTAACCTGATTTTTCACCCCACATTGCTTTATGATTTTCATGACCTCATAGACAAAGACTGAATCACACTCACCCACTCAAACCATCAAATGTGTGTCAAACTGTAAACTGTGATGTCCAGGATCTAGAGTGATGTTATGATCCTCTTGGAGTCAAACAAATAATCTTTAAAGTTCCTCTCAGTTTTAAAGATAAATGTCACTTTCAGGTGTGAAGATGGATGAGCTGATGGCAGCGCTGAAAAAGAAAGATGAAGACATGAGGGCGATGGAGGAACGATACAAGATGTACCTGGAGAAAGCCCGTGATGTACTCACATTAAATTCAGCTCTGAAATACATAGCCTATTTTGCCACTGACTGTCTTATGCTCTGGTCTGTGTTACAATTTTGTAGCCATTTCAAAGTCCTTGATATTTTCATGTTACCGAATCATGTAAAATTAGGAGGAACTGATCAAAATTGTATGTAGTCTGTCATATTCTGTACGTCAGGTAACTACAGGTTTAATCAGTCAATATATGCGTTCTTGCATTATTTAAAGCTCTTTTACAAGCTCCGTTATATCAAAGAGTTATTACCCATATATTCCAATGATAATACATATTGTGCATTTCTATGAAGGGCCTTTTTTTATCCACTTAATGTTTCCTGTCTGTGTAAAGACCTCAAGTATCAGGATTTGAACACCAGCACAGAATTATAGCAGGCCATAGGAAACAGCTGTGACGGCTTTGAATGTGCTGTACGCCACTCATTAAAAATATATGCCTGACTTGTGAAACATAGCTGCATTGTGAAATGGCTTTTGCTGTATTGTGAAAATCTGCCCCTGCTTAGGTTGACCTGACTGAGCTGTGTGCTAATAGACTAGATGTTGAGTTTCGAATAAAACACTCTGTTTGTGTTGGGAGATAATATTAATTCTGTTTTAAATAGTAAGGTTAATCATTACGGTTCTGATTTGTCTTTTCCGGTGTTTTATTCTACTAGGCTTTTTGGCCTGTTATGAATAAATGCTAATGTTTTTTGACATGCTAATATTTATGTATGCTGTGTTCCAAGGAAGAACTCTTAAATTTGTGTACTCAATTTTATGAGCACTGTCATTGTTTGTGTGAGATGATAAATAATAAGATTGGATTCATATGGTATTAGAGTAATATTTGGATTTAAAGAGCACTTGCAGCCTTCATTTACTTGTGATGAATAAACGCAGTTTCGCAATCCTACTGCCTTCTTGCGTGTTAATGATCCCAACGTTGAAGTCTTTACTCGAGTCTCACCACTAGATGGCGACTAATTTAAATATTTCCTCTTTTTGCAGTCGTGTCACTAGTGGTGCTGAACTTTTAGAGCTCTCGGAATTAATTTAATTTCAATACAAAATTATATTTTAAAAAATCTTTATATATTATGTACTGGTGGCATTTGACTTCACAAGAATACACACTAAAGGGCTTGTTTTTAATGATCTGAAATAGAGCCAATATAAATGGATGAGGCAATATTTCCTCAGCCTTGAGAGGGCACACAAAAAAATCAACACAAACATATTGTGACGTGATTATGGATTTCAACATTGTTTATTATCATGGCAAAACCTTGCTTATGTTTGCTGACTAATATCTTTCGCTATGCATTATCTGTCATCTTAAAAATCTTTAAAAAAAACTTCATCCCCTGACCCCACAATCTGAAATCAGTGCCAACAGGTAGATAATTCCATAATGTTTAACTTGTTGCAATGACCTTTTCTCTATTTGATTTTTTTTTCTAGGGCAATGTTCATCCAACACTTCATTAGTTTTTGCAGACTAGGCATTACTAAACAGGTTTATGCATGTTTGATTAATGAGAACTAAAGATGTATTCTCTCACACCCATTAATCAAACAAGAACTACTGAACTTTTACTTTTACTGAGTCTGCAAAAGAAAGGTTTTCTTAGAGATGTTAAACAGATACATTGTCATATTCATTGAAATGTGTATTATATATTATAATTGTTTATAATATTGTTGATTTATTGGTATAATAGAATTCCCACAGTGAGTATGATTTGCTCAGTGTGCCATTGCATGGATCTTGAAGGGGCCCGGGGTGCGCGTTACTCCTATCACTCCATCAAGATTGAGTTTCTCACCCTCTGCTGCTGAAAATTGACATTTTCTGAACAAACTTCTCGCGAGCTGCTCCCCCAAACAGACCCTCTTTCCTGTGAGAGCGACAGAGTGGGGAGAGTTTATTGTAAATAAGTATTTATTTATTTTGATTATTATTTTGATAAAAGTCTTATGCTCACCAATGCTGCGTTTGTTTGATAAAAATACAGTAAAAAAAAACGTAATATTGTGAAATATTATTAGAATTTAATCATTAAGAATTTAAGGATTCAGTCTTCAGTGTCACATGATCCTTCAGAAGATATTCTAATATAATGATTTGGCACTCAAGAAACATTTCTTGTTGTTATCAGTGTTGAAAACAATTGTGCTGCTTAATATTTTTGTGGAAACTGTGATACATTTTTTTAGGATTCTTTGATGAATAAAATTGTGTTTATTTTAAATAGAACTTTATAAAAAATCTTTACTGTCGATCAATTTAAGGCATTCTTGCTGAATAAAAGTTGTTGTTTTTTTTAAACAAAAAAATCTTACTGACCCCAAACTTTTGAACGGTAGTGTAAATAATTTATAATAAAGTCTCTTTTTGTATTTCTGTTTTCACTTTACCTGCAGAAAAGGGCATGAATGCTTCCCGCCTCACAAACTTGCCCTCTTTGTCTAAAAAGTGCCCAGGGTTGAACTTGTAGGGTGTCTCCCATTCATTCTCATCAAAGAGAACAGAGTGTAGTATGGGTAAAATTGCTGTACCCTGGTTGAAACAATAAAATAGGAAGAGTTAGACTTCATATTGTGACAAATTGCACCATTGATCCCCTTTCAAAGGGAACCATTTTTGTCAATCAGCCTGTAGCGTCTGGACCACTCAAACACACAATATATATTTTGTTAGCTAGATTTAACAAATAATCTGTAACACCCCAGGAAGCCGAACAGGCCCCTGGTTCCATAGCAATGCTGACACCAGATACATTTACGATCTAAAGGAATGTGAGCAGAGACTCTCACTGCATTTTCCAGAAGCAAGAGGCACAAATGCACAGTAGAAATGAACTTTTCTACTAATGAATTCATAGGAAAACCTTTCTTTGAATGAACAGTTTATCCTTCAGGTCATGGTGTATGTTGTCTCTGATATTTTTAGACTATTTTAGGCATGCTTATGAGGGAACCCATTCCTGTCATCCTTTCACTATATGTAATCCTACCTTGTTTAGTATCTATGAATTTGCCTTCATATGATCGAAACAAGCGTGTATATTATATGTTGGTACATAGGCAATATATATTAGGGTCCTGAGAATCTTTAGTAATTTCATGTAGTATGTTAGACTAATTTAAGTGTTTGTGGTTAATAAAACCTTACTTGTATCACACTTGACGTGGTTCATTGTTTGCTCATAAACTGGAGTCACTTAATCATGCAGATTTATGCTACAAGCTTTTGTAGAATTGTACAGTAAGGAAGTTATTTCCCTTAACCAGGAAATTAACGTTCTTAGAATTGACAAGACAGTTGACCCTGAGAGGTCAGCTAAATATCTACAGTGGATCTAAAATATTCATAATTAATTATAACTAGTTATGATTAATTATTCATATTTCCCATGAGCTGATTCGTTACAGCCAAATTAAGAACTTTTGGAAGTGATATAATTTTTACAATAGGAAAATATTTCTGTATTTAATGTTAGCTGAATAAATTAACCGAGTGTCACTCACCTTTGGGATGAAGCACTCTCCAAGGGTTGTGTCTTTGTCAGCCACCCGCAAGCCATTCATTGGTACAATTTCTCCGAATCTCAGGATCTCATGAATGACAGTCTCTCAGTGTAGGGCATGTTGGCCTTGTCGGCTATACTCGGCTCCTTTGAGCGTCCAATCACTCTGTCTATCTCCCCGTGAACATTTTCTACAAATTCACTCCATATATTCAAATATCAGTTACGTATGAGTTACTACTTGTATGCATAGATTATTTAAAGAATGTATTTTTCACCTTGTACTTCCGGGTAAGTGATGAGGTATATGAGACCCCGACATAATGCGGTGCAAGTAGTTTCGGTCCCGGCCAGAAACAGGTCTAGAACACATGGAACGATGTTCTCTTCATCAAAACCATCTGTTTCTTCATGTGGCTTCTGGTCAGGGATGGAAGAAGTAAAATAAGTTGCTGTGTTCCTACAAATGCATACAAGTTAAAGAGGCTAGTTTGTAGTTCTCTTGTCACTTTAATAGTTGTATTACATCATCTCAATTAGGAAGTACGGCCTTGTGTTTGACAACAACCTCTTTAACGAAGGCTTGCAATAATTTGTAGTTACTGAACATGTCATTGTGTGGCCCAGGAAGATGCTTCATAGAGTTGAAAGAAATTTTTTTTTATTTACTCATGAATAGCTCACCTGAAAATGAAAATTGGCTCAAGATTTACACAACCTCAGGTCATCCAAGATGTAGATGAGTTTGTTTCTTCTACAGAACAGACTTTTGAAACTAGGTATCAGTTGCTCACCAATGAATCCTTCTAACGGCACCCATTCACTGCAGAGGAGTCATTGGGGAGCACATGATAATATAATGCTACATTTCTCCAAATCTGTTCTGATGAAGAAACAAACTCATCATGGCCTGAGGGTGAGCAAATTTTCATTTTTGGGGTGAACTATTACTTTAAAATTATTTATTTGGTTATTTATTTCACAAAGACAGTCTTGTTGTTTAAGGCCTTTGTGGTCACTTTATCCTAAAATGAAGACTTTCCCAGTGTTTATTCAAAATAATAAAGTAGCTCCCAGCCAACTGACTAACTGTATTATTACATAAAGGACAATTATCAGAAAGAAAAATCATTTATTTACCTGTCCCCGAATGGACCCCTCTAATTGAATGCTTTTAGATATGTATTTTAGCATTGTCCTGAATTGGTGGTTTGCATAATCAAATCTCTGGCCGAACACCATTTGACAGATGATATTGGAAACAGCCGTGTTGAACAGGATTGTTGGGTCAAAAACAGCTCCTGAGAAGGACAAAAACCAAATGAGTTCCGTTATTTACCTTAAATTGATTCTGATTCATGCAAAGTATTGTGTACCTTTCTGTTTGTCAATCTCATCTAGCAAGAAGCGGCTCTCTTCACAGATGGCCAGCTCCATTGTTTACTTTCCCAACCCAAAGTTCCTCAGTGTTGACAGAGCAAAACGTTGTAGCTTCTTCCACATTTCACCATTACTGAAGAAGAGTCCAGCTGTCCGGACACGAATTATGTAGTGTTATGTGTTAGGATACTGAAAATTTAGGACCTGAAACTTTTTTTCCCAACAAATAATCAGTGAAAGTATGTATGTAAACTTCAGAAGATGAAGATCGTCAGCTCCTGCAGGTTGATCTAAATATTATATGAGCTGTGTTATTTTCTATTCATTGTATGTCATTGTATTGTCATTTATTTTGCAACACTTTTACCAAGCTTTAGGACATGTCTAAACAGTTTGGGACGGTTAAAAATACTTTAGTTTTATTTAGTTAATTTAAATATTTATTTTAGAAATAAATAACAGATCCAAATGATGTAACTATTTGGGTTTCACAATTTAAAGGATTGGTTATGTTTTGTTAATAAAGGGGGTTTGGTTCTCCAGATTCACAATAAACAATGCTTCATTTTCATAACCATTTGACCATTGCCCGAGTAGACTCGCCATTGCACTGGACTGTAGGGACGATCCACAAAGTTTTCAGCTTGAGTCACCAAGGCCTCCTTCACCAGTTTATAACCAGTGATGAAGACCACTTTGTCTCTTCCTAATCGCAGACTGAATATATTGTTGTAGGCATGGCCTAGCTGTGAGGAGAACAACATTTCAGAAGCTTGAAGCATGTGACTGGAGCTAATGCAAATCACTGGGTTCATAAATATTTCTTGGTCAGCAAACTGCAAACATGATCAAGTAAAACTGATATACACTATCACGTAATCTATCTCAATATTTTTTAAATGTTTTTTTTCTTACATTTTAATAAACACTGTCCTGTCCTATCAACCCAGAAGTGTCAATATTGTCTGCTCACCTTTGTCAGATATATATGCGGCTCCTTCGAGTCAATGTTGAAGACATTTCGGAAGAGAGAAAGGGCCGAGTGGGTAATTCAGTGGGTTTCTGTTCTTCACATAAGGAAAATGTGAGGTTTGCAGAGTGTATGTTGAACAGGCAGCCTTTGTCCATCTATTCAGCCTGTCACTCCCCTCATATTTCTCTCAATAGATGTAATGTTTTTTAACAGAAAATGGACTCAGAGTTACAAGATCTTGATGGATTAGATTACTCTTGTTATGTGAGAGATTTTTGCGTGTCAAATGTATGTCGGCTAATATGTTCATTCATTTAAATGGGGAGTCTTCCTCAGATTGAGTTATTCTCTGCAGCATGAGTGAGACGAGCAGTGAGGTGGACTATTGGAGTTTAAGCCTTGCAGGTTCATTTTTAACCATGCTTGACCTTTGCCATAATGTTAATGATTGAATCCTCCCCACTCTCACGTATTCATTCAGTGCTATATTTGCTCTTTGATTTGCAGTGTAAATAGGTCTTTTTTTCTGAGAGTGTAGATTGAATTCATGTTTTATAGCTTTTAAATCAATCAATAAGGTGCACTAATGGTCACTCAGGGAAAGGTTACATGTCTAGGTTTGAAAATGAGATGTAAAATAACAAAATCACAAAGATACATGACTGTACATGAATTCTTCAATACAGGTATAGACAGATTAAAGGTAAGTAATAAAACGACAGAAAAACAACTCTCTCTGTGTGTGTGTGTGTGTGTGTGAGAAGATGTTTAATGTTTTTGAAAGAAGTATCTTATGCTCACATATTGGAGTTTAAGCCTTGCAGGTTCATTTTTAACCATGCTTGACTTTTGCCATAATGTTAATGATTGAATCCTCCCCACTCTCACGTATTCATTCAGTGCTATATTTGCTCTTTGATTTGCAGTGTAAATAGGTCTTTTTTTCTGAGAGTGTAGATTGAATTCATGTTTTATAGCTTTTAAATCAATCAATAAGGTGCACTAATGGTCACTCAGGGAAAGGTTACATGTCTAGGTTTGAAAATGAGATGTAAAATAACAAAATCACAAAGATACATGACTGTACATGAATTCTTCAATACAGGTATAGACAGATTAAAGGTAAGTAATAAAACGACAGAAAAACAACTCTCTCTGTGTGTGTGTGTGTGTGTGTGAGAAGATGTTTAATGTTTTTGAAAGAAGTATCTTATGCTCACATAAGACATTAATTTGACATTTATTTGTTCGGGGAAAAAACCCAGTAAACATAACAATTAACATAATTATATTAACACAACACACACACACACTAAGCAATCACAAAGAATGGGGGAAAACATCTAGTCACCATGTATATCGAAGGTGTGGCACCCTACAGAAGTAATAAGAGGCTGGCAAGCACATATTCATAATGTTTTAAAAAAGTTATGCATTATCAATAGATGTTGTAGAAGGGAAATAAATAATGCATACAGAGCTAAAGGATCCCACATTCTAACAACAAATTCTTTCCTTGTGTAGACAGGAAGTGTTTAAGCCCAGAGCACATTTCCTGTGTTTGTTTAAAGGTAAGTAATATGTGTGTGTGTGTGTGTGTGTGTGTGTGTGTGTGTGTGTGTGTGTGAGAAGATGTTTAATGTTTTTGAAAGAAGTATCTTATGCTCACATAAGACATTAATTTGACATTTATTTGTTCGGGAAAAAAACCCAGTAAACATAACAATTAACATAATTATATTAACACAACACACACACACACTAAGCAATCACAAAGAATGGGGGAAAACATCTAGTCACCATGTATATCGAAGGTGTGGCACCCTACAGAAGTAATAAGAGGCTGGCAAGCACATATTCATAATGTTTTTAAAAAGTTATGCATTATCAATAGATGTTGTAGAAGGGAAATAAATAATGCATACAGAGCTAAAGGATCCCACATTCTAACAACAAATTCTTTCCTTGTGTAGACAGGAAGTGTTTAAGCCCAGAGCACATTTCCTGTGTTTGTTTGATTGTACAGATCATAATCTATGTAATGGTGGGACATTATGGCAAAATACATTAAAAAAAAAGGATTTGGAATTCCTGGACTTAATGTACACTTTAAATGACTTTGTATTTGTATTATTTATATAACACACTAAGCAATCACAAAGAATGGGGGAAAACATCTAGTCACCATGTATATCGAAGGTGTGGCACCCTACAGAAGTAATAAGAGGCTGGCAAGCACATATTCATAATGTTTTTAAAAAGTTATGCATTATCAATAGATGTTGTAGGAGGGAAATAAATAATGCATACAGAGCTAAAGGATCCCACATTCTAACAACAAATTCTTTCCTTGTGTAGACAGGAAGTGTTTAAGCCCAGAGCACATTTCCTGTGTTTGTTTGATTGTACAGATCATAATCTATGTAATGGTGGGACATTATGGCAAAATACATTAAAAAAAAAGGATTTGGAATTCCTGGACTTAATGTACACTTTAAATGACTTTGTATTTGTATTATTTATATATGCATATAAAAAAGACCCAAAGTGTAACCGTAAACATAAGGAAGCTGTGGGTGATATTTCTTGCATAAAATTTGCTATACCCCATACATTGCATCCTCAGACAGCAGGATTTAGCATCTCGGGTGAGCGCAGAGCTTGTATGGCAGAGGGGCTTGTGTGAAGCCCACCTGGCTCTCCAGACTGGGCTCCTCACCAGGAGGAGGACTGAAACTGAAGTTCTGCAGGAGAATGGTGAGAAAGATGAACAGCTCCACGTGAGCCAGGTGCTCTCCTGGACACTGCCTTTTGCCTGTCAATGGATCACAGTTGAATTACATATTTTGCAGTCATATGTTTTACAGTTGTGGTTTAAAATTGACTAAGGTACAGCAAAAACAAGTAATGGATGAACTGTACCTGCTGAGAAGGAAAAGAAGGCATTTCTCCTGCAGAACTGGCCTTCAGAGCCTAGAAAGTGTCCAGGGTTAAAGATGTCTGGTGTTTCCCATTCATGTTTGTCATACAGCACTGATGTCAGATTAGTGATTATCACAGTCCCCTTAGTTCAGCACAGGAAGTGGTTATAATAATAATAATAGAGTGTTATTTTAAACTTTTAATAAAATGTAAACATTAATGTTTTAATGTTTAAATCATTCAAAATAACACAATATTTTTCTTTTACCTTTGGTATAAAATAGCCTCCCAGATTTGTGTCCTTTCTCGCAGTTCTAGCCATATTGAGAGGCACAAGGTTTGCTTTTCTGAGAACCTCATGAATGAAAGCATTGGTGTAATGCATGTTTGCCTTATCAGACATAGTAGGTGGACAGGAGCCAATCACCTGATCAATCTCTGCTCGGACCTTCTCTAGATTAGGAAACATTTTGAGAACATTGTCGAGATACAACAATGCACAATAAGTAGTAAAGTTGTTTTGTCCATTTTTACTGTTATTAAAGTGTTATTTAAGTAATATTATTGTATGTACCTTGAATATCAGGGTACTTGATCATGTAAAGCAGAGCCCATCGGAGTGTGTTGGTCGATGTTTCAGTTCCACCCTCGAACAAGTCTACCATGCACCACACCAGACTGCCAAAATTAAACCCTGCCTTGGTGTCATTCTTTCTCTAAGCCCCAAAATGAAACGCAAGGACATGAATAAGTAGCAGTAATTTACTTAATAATGCAATTAATTAATTAATTCAGGAACATACTTGGGGTACATCACCTTACATCACATTATTGATGCTGAACTTAAAATTATGTTACCAAGTTTTACCTTCTCTGTTTCTGTCAGATAGGCATCAATATAATCTCTGGGATTGTTGCTGTCCCAGTCTTGTCTGTGTTGCTCAGCCTTTTCTTTCAGGAAGTTTTCTAACTTTTGGTAGTTTGAGATTATTGTCTGATGGGATCCTGGCAACCATTTCATTATACCTGGGAAGGCATCATACAGCTAAAAAAAAACAAAAAACATGAAAGCTTTGTTAAAATGATGAGTAATATCCATGGTGATACTGTGCTTCAGGCTTGGGAGCCAATCACCTGATCAATCTCTGCTCGGACCTTCTCTAGATTAGGAAACATTTTGAGAACATTGTCGAGATACAACAATGCACAATAAGTAGTAAAGTTGTTTTGTCCATTTTTACTGTTATTAAAGTGTTATTTAAGTAATAAATTTATTGTATGTACCTTGAATATCAGGGTACTTGATCATGTAAAGCAGAGCCCATCGGAGTGTGTTGGTCGATGTTTCAGTTCCACCCTCGAACAAGTCTACCATGCACCACACCAGACTGCCAAAATTAAACCCTGCCTTGGTGTCATTCTTTCTCTAAGCCCCAAAATGAAACACAAGGACATGAATAAGTAGCAGTAATTTACTTAATAATGCAATTAATTAATTAATTCAGGAACATACTTGGGGTACATCACCTTACATCACATTATTGATGCTGAACTTAAAATTATGTTACCAAGTTTTACCTTCTCTGTTTCTGTCAGATAGGCATCAATATAATCTCTGGGATTGTTGCTGTCCCAGTCTTGTCTGTGTTGCTCAGCCTTTTCTTTCAGGAAGTTTTCTAACTTTTGGTAGTTTGAGATTATTGTCTGATGGGATCCTGGCAACCATTTCATTATACCTGGGAAGGCATCATACAGCTAAAAAAAAACAAAAAACATGAAAGCTTTGTTAAAATGATGAGTAATATCCATGGTGATACTGTGCTTCAGGCTTCAATGTTTGTACATCTATATTTCAACACAGTTTTCCCCTAAACTCAAGTGTTATAATATGTGAAAGATTTAAGTGTTCTTTTAAGTTGTATTTTCAATGGATACCTGGTTCCACACAGATCCCGTAAGAAACACTGACTCTGCGCTCATTTGTAGACGCTTCTGGAAATCAACATCATCATATTCATATCGATGGCCGAACACCAGGCTACCAATGACATTGGCCACTGCGTTGTTAATTTTGACCAGAGGGTTAAATGGGTAGCCTGTGTGACAAGGTAAAAACAATGATAGAATGATATTTATTTACTGAATAATTTGGTTTAAGACGCTTCAGAAAAGTTCTTTGAAATGCAAGAGGCTTGTAAAACCGTTGTAGTGTGATTACACCTTTAAAATAAAGGTTCCAAAAGGGGGGTTTCACGGTGATGCCTTAGAAGGACTATTTTGGCTTCCCCAAAGAACCTTGCACTGAACAGTTCTCAAAAGAACTGTTTTTATTAGGTTAAAGTACATTCAATAATCAAAAGAACCGTTTTGCAGTATAAAAAGACATTTTGTCCATTTGAGTCCATGGGTTCCATGTATGTTAAAGGTTCCTCGAGGAAAATAAGATTCAATAAAAAACTGTAGATGGGTTCTTACCCTGCTCTTCTTTAAATGCTCTACAAAGGAAATAGCACTCTCGTTGAATATGTTTTTCTAGAGTCTTCCTCCCCTCTCCAAAGTTTTTCAGGTGACTCATAGAAAACTGCTGTTGTTTCCTCCATGAGTAGCCATTGTTGAAGGACAATCCTTTCTCAGTCAGGGGTCAGCGTCAAAGACAATGGAAGAAAATTGTGTTTAGACCGGCTGTACAATCAGAGAGGATGTTTTTCTGCACTCAAAATTATTAGCATCCATAATTTGCACCTATTGAGCAAGACCACTTTGCTTATCTGCAATAAAACTATATACAATAATCACCAATTATCCTGCTACTTTAATTCCATATATGCAGTAGCTGTATTATAAACAAACATTTTGTGTTTCCTTTATTTAAGACATTGGTCGTCTTATTGCTATTGTTAGATTATTAAGTATAGTGACTTACCTCTGCCTTTATAAAGTGTGTCAAATAAAGGTGAAACAGGGCGGTCAGTGAAGGTTTCCCCTTGAGAGATCAAAACATCCTTCACCATTTTAAACCCGGACACATACACTATTTTATCACTTCCATTTCTGACACTGAAGATGTTCCCATATTTCTCAGTCAGCTAGAAAAAAAAAATAATTGTATTAATTAATTTAATTACTAATCAAGTAGCGCATATGGAAAGAAAAAAAAACATGCCATTCTGTATTTACTTGATTTTTTTTTAAATATATTAATATAAAAATAATAGTATTATTGTTCAATTATATATTAAATTAGCAATATCTTAATGTTACATTATTATGTCAGTGTTGTAATAAATTTATGAGTCCCTCACCTGGTCCACAGTTTTATAGTTAACATCAGTGAAGACATTTCCTAGGATGGGTAGCGGCCAGGGTCCTGGTGGAAAATTTGTTGGATTTTTATGTCTGATGAAATCTATAAGCAGCAGCAGTAAACAAATCAAAAACAAGCAGCTTTTAAAATCCAGGCACTCATATAAAGAATATAAAATCATGGCTGAGGCTATGGGCAGCCGATTCCTCTGAGGTAAACCAACTTAATTTAGCCAGGCTGTTGTGAATAGGGTGTGTGTGTGAGAGAGTGCACGAGTACTGTTTATCTGAAAAGAGAGAGTTAATGTGGGTCTCAGTAGCAAGGGGCCATATGAGCAGTTTGGGAGCCATTATGTAACCCTGTTACGTAATCAATGTTTGTAGCTCATGCTATAGTTTCCAACAAAAACAGAGCCCCAATTCAACCTCTGTGTGAACCTTCTGCATTCCAAATAAATCTCTACCAGGATCAAGTCATAAATAATGACTGAATTACACAGTTGAACTTTATAAGACTGAAGAGATAAGAACATCTGTGCAATCATGACAACGCCAAAGTGTTTTAGTTGGCCAACATGTTTCTTAATGCATAACAGTACAGAACACTACAGCTAAAACATAATATAAATGTGTGTAATGTACCATATGAATGTTTTGGGTACTTGCTTCCACAGGGCCTTTGTTCCTGAATGAATAAGTAGTCAAGAGGGTTGGGGAGGTAATAAGACACCCTTGTTTTGCTCTCTTCCTCTTATTCTCTGTAGAGATGTTGTGAAATGTAATTCAGGCCTAATATGTGCTGCTCCATTTTCACAGTCTGAGAGGTTTGTAAATGTACTTTTTATCACACTTTTTAACACTGGGTTCAATTAATACACTCTAATATTTAAAATAAAGGAACGAAGTTGAAAAAGTATGAAAAATACTATTTAAATCTTTCTACTTAAACATGTTTAATTAAACGTTCTACTTAAACGTGTTACTTGACATTTCTTTGTAATTATTTCTGAAATGTACCAATATCAAAATTTCTCAAATGTATAAATTTTTGAGTGGAAATTGTTTCTACACAATTTTTTTTTATTCAGTAGTAAGTGTTAATTGAACAAACAAAATTGTTAAAAAGGGACAAATTAATGTGGATCTCCTGCACATCAGAGAGGGACATTTGTCCTACAAACACACACACCGAATCTAAAAAGGTAGTTTGTCCCTGCTATGTGTAGACTGTACACTCAGTGTTTCAGGCTTCAAGAGGAAGAGGCCTTTCATGGTTTTGGGGTTGCAGTAAGTTACGTAATACCCCAGCTGTTGTTTAGCAATGAGTCTGTGACATTCCTTTACTTAGTATAGTTAAAGTAACTCAAAGAATAGTCTTTTTATATGAAAAAATTAGTTATCTTTATTTTTTTGCATGAAACAGAGAAGTTTCAAGTGACAAATTTTCAACCCAGGTGTAATTTATTTACATGACAAATATGATTATTTACACATCCGTAAATCATTTACACAGTGCATTAATATCAATACATGTGCATTTATACATCAAAATCATTAATACATGTATTGAAACATTTACATTTATACATTAAAATCAAGTGTACAACATTGCAACAATGTTACGTTTTGAAAAATGTGGAAATGAGATGCTAACATAAAAGATAATCATCCAGAAACACATCAGAAAACATACTTTGTCTAATTTTACTGACTTTGTTTTGTTCTAACGTGAGGAAACACACATACGGTAGGGAGCAGGAACATATGTGAACCATATCTCACCCACCAAACTGGGTTCCTCTCCTGGACATTTGGAGATGGTGAATTGCTGCAGCAGGGAGGTGAAAAACAGGAAGAGCACCTGACGAGCCAGCTGCTCTCCCAAACACGCTCGTTTACCTGTGAGCAGATGCCATAATGCAAAATTAAAAATCACATTGTGGCATTGACAAGAGAAAACCTGTAACTAAGTAACTAACTACAACTATGATTACATTATATTAACCTAGATAAAAAAAATGTCAACAGCCTCACTAGCGTGACAGTAGTTGGTGCTCATCTCTCATTGTAGTGAAATGCAATTCATTCTGTTGAATCAGTTCATCCTAAACATCCTCTCTCACATGTAGCATTATAAAGTTCAATTAATTCAAGTCAGTCAGTTAATCCTAAAAATCCTCTCTCATTTGTAGCATTGTAAAGTCAAACAAATACAATTCACCAATTTCAATGACTTGGTTATGTAAATTTAGGTATTTTTGTTGTATAACTACATTTGGAGATGGTGAATTGCTGCAGCAGGGAGGTGAAAAACAGGAAGAGCACCTGACGAGCCAGCTGCTCTCCCAAACACGCTCGCTTACCTGTGAGCAGATGCCATAATGCAAAATTAAAAATCACATTGTGGCATTGACAAGAGAAAACCTGTAACTAAGTAACTAACTACAACTATGATTACATTATATTAACCTAGATAAAAAAAATGTCAACAGCCTCACTAGCGTGACAGTAGTTGGTGCTCATCTCTCATTGTAGTGAAATCCAATTCATTCTGTTGAATCAGTTCATCCTAAACATCCTCTCTCACATGTAGCATTATAAAGTTCAATTAATTCAAGTCAGTCAGTTAATCCTAAAAATCCTCTCTCATTTGTAGCATTGTAAAGTCAAACAAATACAATTCACCAATTTCAATGACTTGGTTATGTAAATTTAGGTATTTTTGTTGTATAACAGCCTGAGAGTTCATTCATTCAAAACATCGCATTGTTTTGTGAAAAAAAAAATGTCACTCATTAAATGTATAAATTATTGCATTTTTTATTCGTTAGTTTTTATTAATTTATAAAAGCAAATTGCCCTGTTAAAGTGAGTGCTAGTTTTGTTCTTCTGTATTTAATACTAGTCCACACAAAAAAATCACACACTGAGAAGTTATATGTAAATGTTTATAAAATATTACCTGATGAAAAGGGCAGAAACGCATCTCTCTTGCGAAACATTTTCAGTCAGGAAGTGTCCTGGGTTAAAGGTGTCTGGTGTCTTCCATTCATTTGGATCATGCAGGACTGAAGACAGGATTGTTGAAACAGCAGTGCCCTAATAAAGGGAGAATGAAAACATTTGTGTAGCAACCAACAATGGCTGATTGACATGAGAAATTTATGCCGATATCAGATAATTGTCTATATTTTAAAATACATGTATCTTTCAATCAAGACTAGTCTTGAATAGAATAGAATTCATACCTTAGGAATGAAGTATCCTCTTAGTGTTGTCTTTAACAGCTTTTTTAGGGAATCCAAGTGGAACAACATCTCCAAGTCTTTGTATCTCATGGATTACAGCATCAGTGTAGGGCATGTTAACTCTGTCAGCCAAACAGGGTTGACGCGACTGTCCAATCACCCTGTCTATCTCTTCCTGGACCTTTCCTGAATGGGAAATACAAGTTGGTTGTAAAGTGGTAACCATGTGGTGACAATATGTCTATTCTTTAAAAATTAAAACCAAACTCACTCTGTGTTTCTGGATATTTGATCATAAAAAGCAAACCCCAGCGTAATGTAGTAGCAGTGGTCTCTGTCCCGGCCTCAGTCACGTCCAGGCAAGTTATCACTAACCCTTCTATGTTAAAACCAGCCTTGGGGTCACTCTTTTTCTGTGGAAAAAAAAGTACTGAATTATTCAAAATTCAAATTCAAAAAGAAAATTCCACCTTTACTTACTGTACCTTTTCCATCTCAGTCAGATAGTTGTCTATTAAGTCACGAGGGTTTGAAGGGTCCCAGTCCTCTTTGTGTTTAATGATCTCTCCTCTCAGGAAGTTTGCGATCTTCTTATAGTTGGAAAAAATTGTTTGGTGGGGGCCAGGTAAATATTCCAATAGCTGAGGACACACATTGTACAGCTGTAAAATATGACATTATGGGTGATGAATACAGATTTTGAATTATAATTAACTCACAGGACGTTAAAATATGAAAGTAGTGTCTCAGAATGCTATCATGAATCAGTACCTGTGCTCTAGGAGAGCCCATTAACTGAACGCATTCAGTGTCAAGACGCAGGATTCTTTGGTAACATTCATCATGATAATTAAAGCGTTGACCAAATATCAAACAAGCAACAATATTTGAGACAGCACCGTTTAAGATGGTCAAAGGGTTGAAAGTTCCTGTTTGAGAGAAAAAATGGATGTTTATTAAATTGCAAATTGGTGTCATTCTTCTTTGCCCCAGTGAACTAAAATTCTCCAGTTAGTGACACATTTACACCATTCCCTTTTCTGTCTTAAAGGCATCACAAAGGTAGACACACTTTTGCTGGATGCTGTGCTCAAGGCTTTTCTTCCCCTCTCCAAACATCCGCAAATGGAAGGCAGCAAACTTCCTATGTGACCGCCACAGGTATCCATTACTCAGTGATATACCTAGAATGATGAAATCTGATTATCATTAATAAAAAATCAAACTCCTTTTTAGAATAAAAACTGGTATTAAGCATTAAGGTCACTGTGGTCAGTGTACTTACCAATTGCCTTAAAAACTTTGTGAAACAGAGGGACATTTGGACGCTCAACAAAACTGGCATTCTGAGTATTGAGGGCCTCCTTTACCATTTTATATCCAGATATGATTACTATTTTATCACTGCCTACTCTTAAGCTGAACACCTTCCCATAGACTTCAGCCAACTGAAATTCAAAATATTTATTTTATTTTATTTATATCAATCAGGAACATTGATAGTTACTATTTTCTTTACAAAAAGTCCAGAAACAAGTCAATAAATGAAATCATCTCTAAAATGGCTTTAAATTGACATACATGCAACTTAAAACCATATGAATTTAGCTCCCACCTTAGCCATGGTCCTAAAATCCATCTTGGTGAAGACAGTTCCCAGGAATGGCACAGGTCAGGGTCCTGGCTGGAAATTGGAAGGATTCTTGTTTTTGATCATATCAACAAGGAGCAGAAATACAAAAAAGAAAATGATCCAGCTTTTAAAATCAAATTTGTCATAAATCAAGTGCAGGATCATGGTGGTAGAGGAATGGCAGGTGCTCTTTGTCTTATTTGAGCTCTGTGGTTTGAAAATGATTATTGGTATAAATACACTGAACAAAATTATAAATGCAACACTTTTGATTTTGCCCCCATTTTTCGATAGTTCATTAGACCCAGCCAATGAAATGGTCCTACACAGTTTGGACTAGAATGCTATTTGTTCTCGCTAGTGTCGGTCATTCAAAGCAG